CTGTAATATAGACCGATATTTAGATTAGTGCTTACTGTAGTCAGAGCAACAATCTCTAAATCACAAAAAAGAAAATATTAAAACGTCCTTAACTCAGATAAATAAAAAATGAAACACATTTGAAAAAGTACGACTCTCTCTGAAGCAAAACCAAACAAGAGACCCCCAAATAAAAACGTCACAGTAGCACAGAGAAACCTTTCGAAGATTTTAGTCGTAAAAAACTAAAGATTTCTGACGACGCACGTATTTCTCAGTCGCAGTGACTTGTGCGTAATTACGCACGGGGGAGGGAGGGAAAGGTGCGCGTCTGTTGCGCACAGGTGGAGCTAGTCCCAGAACAGCTCAGCTAGCATGTGCAACACGTCCTCCACCAGATGAACATGAAACTGAACCGAGATTCATGAAATGAGTGGAACTAGAAAACAACAGATCCTGAATCTCAGCGCGTGGTGAAGATGAGTCGGTGTCTTGGATCCTGTTCGTCACAGTTAATGAGCACACGACGCTCAGCCAGATGCTAACACCGCGTGTGTCACAAAACAAACACAACTTAATGACACAAACTGCATTAACACGATCAACTCACATTCCTGCAGCGTCTTCCATTCCAACCACAAACAGAACGTTCCTTCTGAGTCTTCGTGTCTCTCTGTGATTTCTCTGTGTCTCTGAGTCTCTTGAGTCTTCGTGTCTCTGAGTCTTTGTGTCTCTCTGAATTCTCTCGTCGCTTCTCAGCTGGTCACTCTAACTCCGCCCTCTTTTAAATGATATTTGTTCTTCTCCTCTTTTATTTAAGTTTGAACCATGAACAGTGGAAAAGTTACAAACGTCACACTCACAACGTGAAACGAGAAAGAACCAGATTCACAAAGAACAACTTGGTGATTGATTGTTTTATTGAAGGATCAGTAATAATCTGTTATAATCTGTACAGAGGTAGATTTTATTCCCTTTATTCACACTCAGTATTCAGTTGTAATAAGATCTTCAGCCTCGTAAATAAAATCAAGTGAAATACAGTAAAAACATTACAACGCAATAAATATAAAAACCAAACTATTCATTTAATTGTTAATTCCCTTTATTAAAGACAAACAATTCTAATATAAATGTTCACTATTATGTTCAATAGTTGCTTTTTATAACTTTTTATATGACGACTTGTCCAACGCAAAAACAAAAAAACTAAACAAAAACATCTCAGGATGAAAAAGTGGAGCCGAACACGAAGAAGACACCAACGAAGAAGTCATGAGAGTCTTTGATGATAAGAGCCGACGCCGAATAAACACGTGAACCCTGTGGCAGAAATGATACGTCACTTCCTGCCTCTGCTCCGCCCCTCACGTGAATCCTGCTGAATCTTCCCCGTGTTGTGCATGTGTGAAACGAAAACTGCGGAGAAAGTTCTGGACATGTCTGAAAATATATACATGTCACTTCAGGATCAGCAGTCAAAGACCTGAACCTGGACTTGGACCTGGATCTGAACCTGGATCTGGTCTGGTGTCCCCTGCCCCCCCACTGAACGCTGACACCAGGTCCCGGACGCTGCTAGCTGAGCGCGGCGTCTCCTCGCCCTCCTTCTTCCTCGTCTTCCTCGGGTTGACGTTGAGACTCTTGGAGCGAAGTGTCGGGTACATCCTGTCCTCCCCCACCAGCAGCAGCTCCGATGACTCCTCCCCCTCTCCTTTACCCAGGTTACCAACCGACGGCTCACCCCCCTGCTCCCCATCGGACGACCCAGGAGGCTCCACTTTTTGTTTGGTCTCAGTTCCTCCGCCCCTTTCCTCCGTCATGGTGGATGCTCTGTGGGGTGTCAAACTGACGGCTGCGTCCTGAACCTGGTGGGCCGGGCTGTAGACGATGCTGCTGATTGACTTCCTGCTGGAGGAGGCGGTGACGCTGAGGGTCGCAGAGGATAAATATTCTGTGACCTTTGACGTCTCCAGAGGGAACGATGCCACCGCCTCCAGTCGGCTTTTCTCGGGCGGTTTCTTCACATCAGCGTCTGTTAGGTCCATCTGAGGGGAAGCAGGTCGGGTGTGGGTTGTTTGGAGGTCCGGGTCGCAAGGGGAGATCAAGATGTCAACGTTGGACAAAGACTGAGTCCTGTCCCTCGGTCCTTTCACCTCCAGGGTCGAACCAAACTCCTTCACCTCACCTGGAAACAGGAAACAGTTAAACAATCGTTTGTCTCAGGAGGTTACAGGTTCCTCTCCCAAGGTTTAGCCTCATGTGTCGAACCTGCTGCGTCTCCTCGTTGTCTCTCTGGACTCAACTGGACCTTCTTGTCATTCGCCTCTGTGTCTCCGGACACAGAGACCCTGTCGTCATGCTCCAGCTGGTATCGGTACAGACTGTATCCGTCGGCACTGTTAATGCTGCCGTGTCGCAGCAGAGCGGCCGGTTCACACACCGATGATCCTCTGGAGCGCGACCGGACAAGGTCGGCTCGGTCGACGCCGGCCAGCTTCTCCAGAGCGTTCATCATCCGACCAGAGAACTCCTCCAGCTGAGCCAGGCGGAGGTCGACCGTCTGCAGGGACGCCTTCATCGAGTGCTCGCGCTCGTTCACCTCCTCCAGGCGCATGAACATGTTCTCCACCCTCAACACGACAAACAGTAAACAACAGTTAAACGCAAAGTAGAGCCGAACACGATGTGAATCATTGTTCACTTGTTTATTTGGAAATATGTAAACACAGTGTCTCGCTCTGACCTCTCACATGTGACTCTGATTCGTTCGTTGTTGGACGATTGTTTCTCGTCGTCTTTCTCTCTGAAATATTCCTCAACACACTGTTCCTCGAACTCGTGAAGAGACTTTAACTCGTCTGGACTCAACACCAGCTCTGAAAAACACATCCATCAATCATCAGTTCATAATATTTGACACTTGTTGTTTTAAACTTAAACTTTGTATTTGAAACTTGATATTTTCAGTTGCGGCGAAACAAAGATGATTTGCAACGAGGGTTTGGATCTTACGGAGTCGTCTCTCGCGGTCGTCGTGCTCTCCCTCCGGCCGGCGGCGGCAGTGGCAGCACAGCCTCTTCAGGATGATGTAGATGTGGGGGAAGACGATGAGCGGGGGCGGCAGGATGGGACGGTCGTGGAAGGTCATGATCAGCTGATATCGCTGGAACTTCCACACCTGGTTGGAGATGGACTTCACCTCGAAGAAGGTGTTACTGCGGAGATGAAGAGGAGGAAGATGATGCTCATCAGTTTATTGATCTGAGCTCCATCTGTCTCTTTGTCTGTCTGTCAGTGGCTGATCTGAGGTCTGTGTTCTGAAGCACTGACTTGAAGACGGCGATGAGCAGGTTGACCAGCAGGATGTTGGCGACCAGTAGGTAGCAGGCCATGATGGCGGGAGTGAGCCAGGCTCCGGGGATACAGGGAGGAAGCTTCTTCCCGTCTTCATCATACAAGTTGTCTCCACACGGAGCTGAAACGTGTTCAACACTGAGTTGAATCAAATGTTCTCTTTAATAAAATAATGAATCACACTGTAAAAACTTTATGTCAAACAAGACTTCCTGTCTGCATCTTAGAATAAACGATCTGTAAATGACAAATTAATTAACAGTTTACAATAAACAATTTAAAGATTGATTGTTTCTGAAACTCACGATTGATTTCCATCGCATAAACTGTCCAGAGGAGACAAAGAGACAAAGAGACAGAAAAAGATCAAGAAGAGAACAGATCATGATCATCAGCAGATTTTAAACAGAGACAATGTCTTTGTCTCATCTTCATCTGACATCAAAACACATACAAACAATTCATCAAGTTTAATATGATTAAAAGATGTTAAAACACGTGAGGACAGAGGGTGAGGTTAGGGGTGAAGACGGGTGCGGTCAGGGGTGAGGACAGATAAGGCTAGATAAGGACAGGGGATGAGGACAGGTGAGGACTGACTGCTGACTGTGAGCCTTCTATAACCTCTCGTCTTAAGGCCTGTAGAGCGTGAGGACAGAGGGTGAGGACAGAGCGTGAGGCCAGGGGTGAGGATGGGTGAGGACAGGTCAGGACTGACAGCTGACTGAGTCTTACTATGAACTCTAGTCTTACGGTCTATGGAGTCGGCAAACACCTCTCCGTAGATCATCCAGTACGGCATGTAGAAGATGTTGCGAGCCAGACGCCACGTGGGCTTCTCGTCTGGATGGAGGATCGCTTGTCGAGCGACGCCGAAGCTCATCAACACCACGAGCATGATGACCACGAAGTACAGCATGTCAATCATCTGGACACACACGTGGGGGCGAGACATGGAAGATGAACTTTCACCCCTGTAAAATATCTGAGTATCATCTGTAACTTATGTTTGTATCAGTGATGTCTCCACAGGACACTGTACCATCTTCCCGATCATCATGACGTAGGGTCCCAGGTACTTGTTGACTCCAAAGATGTCCAGGACTCGGATGTACCAGAAGATGATGTCGACGCAGTAGATGACGCGTCCGTAGCCCATGTAGGGCTCATTCTGCAGCCGCAGCAGTAAACCCAGCAGGAAGACGGAGATGGCCGCCAGGTCGGTGATGTTCCAGTAATCCTCCAACCACACGTTGATCTTCTGCTTCAGCTTCCCCGGCTCCGACATCAGGATCTGACCACAGCAGAGTTCAGTCAGGTCAAACCTCGTCAGTCATAGAACATGCATGTGCCTCAGTAGAACTTTCTTCTATCATCACAACACCACATTTACAGTGAGCTTTACAGTTTGTGTAACAACTGGATCAGCCGATCCACTTGTTACTGGGGCTGTGGTGACCTCAGCTGTGTTTACCTGTCTGACTTTCTCCAGCCCCAGAGTGATGATGTAAGAGATGACGATCCACTCCTGCAGAGAGGGCCATCGCTCCATCTTCACCAGGATGATGTAGTTGTACAACATCAGGTAGACCAGGTACGAGATCTACAGAGAGAACCAGGTTCTAACATCCAGGTCACATGACACTCCAGAAGTATTAGCAAAACTAAATACAGTATCTAAAGACTCACCCTGACCTCACCCCTGACCTCACCCCTGACCTCACCCGACCTCACCCCCTGTCCTTCAGTATTATTCTTTCAGTTTCATTTGAATCTGCTGTGAAACTACATGTCGTGTTTGAATGTTGAGGGTGAAATACTGAACAGGACCTTTCAGTATTTTAAATAAAAAAGTGTGTACTTGCCGTGTTGAACCAGAACTTGGTGAAGGGAGCGTTGTAGAACTCGTAGATCTGCCTCCCGATGGGAACCCTCCTGCGATGTTTCTTCTGGTTTTCTTCTTCGTCTCCTTTCTTTGATGTAGCGTCAACATTAGAGACGGCATCCTGTGAAAACACATAAATTACTGTTTGTATACTGTTTTTAAAGAACTATGTGGCTCTGACTGAGGATCCCGTTTGGTTTGTACCTTGCTGGATTTGTTGTCGTCATCTTTACTTTTGCCGTCCTCATTTTCTTTGGTCGTATGAAATGAAGCTTCCTCTCCAAGACGAAAGTCCATGAGGAGGATGGCAGGAGGGAAAACGATCCCTAAAATCACCTGGAGACAGAATTCACAAGAACTTTATTAATGTGCATCTCCTTCTGTTACTGTGAAGATTGAATCACTGGTGGAGTCCCTCAGGGTCCCATGCATGAGCCCATTTTATTTTTATTTCATACTGTATATATAAATATATATATTGCTGTGGGGGCACAGATTCAAAACCTCTGGTTCTTTGTGTTGTTGTGTTTGTTTTTTAAGGTTTTTAGCCTGGCTCGGTGCAGACTGCTGCATGCTGTGTTACCTTGAGGCTGTTGCTCTTGCCCATCCTTAAACAGCCCATCCACATGTCCGTCAGCAACATCTGGCTGCAGGTGTGAGCGATGAAGTCTCTGTGTTTGGCAGCAACAGCTAACTTCAGACAGGTGGAGTTACTCCAGTTTTTCAGTTCGTACGTCAGCAGCTTCATGGCGACCTGCTCATCGTGTTTGTATGACTGATCCAGGAGCTCGTAGGCTAGCTGACCAAACTCCCTGCACAGAAAACACAAGCACCATATTGTTCTCAGATCAACTGAGCTTCTCAAGACGGAGCTGCTGACCAACTGCTCATCTTAACGATAAACAGAGATCAGGTTTCAGTCTGGATCAGACCTGATGCAACCTGGCCTGGACTGACCCTGAACTGACCCTGGACTCTGGGACTCACCTGGAGTTGTTCTCCAGGTCCTGGTAGATGTCGTCCACCAGCTCGCTCTGAGACGACTCATGGGCCATTGCCTTGTAGAGTTTACAGGCCACCAAAGCTTTGGCCATGGCCTCCTCCCCCCGCTGCCACAGGAACAGCGCCATCTTCTGGCGCTTCAACAGCACTGCCCACACCATCAGCTCATGGAAAGGGTACTGAAACCTGCTGACCTCAGGGTCATCAACGTCTATGTCCACCTCCTCCTCCTTCTTCTTATTCTTCTTTCCTTTTCCCTTCGAACGAGGCTCATCGTCCTGGACAGATTAGACCACAGATGCACACATCAGGAAATTCAAACAAAAGTTTAAAGATCACACCAACAGAAGCAAGAACATACCTCCATCCCAAGAAGTTTCAGAGCTTTTGGCTGCAGGAGAAAAGACAACACGGAAGTTAATTTACTGCAGATTCAGTGAAGCACTGTTTGATTCTTAGGAACATAACTTTATTCTTGGAGAACTTTCAGTAACTTTGTGTGCTTACTCTTTTCAGACCATACAGGTTGTTGTACAGCGTCCTGAAGCTCTTCCTGGTGTATTTGCAGCGATATGCTCCACCCATCAGAAACTCCAGCACCAGACCGATGTCAATCAGCGTGATCTGGTAATCTGGAGGGAGGTTCCCCTAAAACACAAATTTTCAATTCACCTTAATTTGTATTTTGCCAAATCACAGTGTAGATTTTGTCAAGGCGCTTTACATAGTGAGGTCAAGACCTAACACAATTGTAGAGAAACCCTACAGTTCCCACAGAGAGCAAGCAGAGGCAACTTTGGAGAGAAAAAACTTCCCTTTAACTGGGAGAAACCTCTGGAACCATCTGCCTCAACCCATTGGGGCAGCAGAGAATGTTCCATGAATCAGTTTGTCAACAGCCAGTTTACGACGATAAGGCCATACATTCATCCAAACATCCATCATCATCTTTGTCAGTTAAGGTTTTCCAAGGCTTGGAACCAATCCCAGCTGTTGATGAGAAGTGGGGTATAACCATTGACACCTATAGTCAATTTACAATCTTCATTTAACTGAACCCCAGTCTGTTTGGACTGTGGAGTTCCCGAAAAGAAACACAACCAAGAACCCTCTTATGCTAACCACTGCACCTCCGTGTTATCTGACTATAAGACCTGTGACCGAAATCAGAGTCTGACAGTCAAACATCCAAGAAAATAGACGGATAGACAGACAGAAGAAAGTAGGACACTTCTCAGAGTAAGTGGAACAGCTGCCGCTCGTGCAGATGCCATCTTGCAGCGGGTTAGGGTTAGCATCATTTGATGGCATCACAGGAACCTGGAGTTCATAAAATCTCTCACCTTTTTCACATCTCGGACCACAAAGTGCAGCGTGTTGGCAGGACCCAACTTCTGCAGAGAAACAAAGACAAACAGCAGATTAATGAACAGAGTTTATTGTGGAGGTGTCATCACAGCGATTAAAGACTCGGTGTCACTGATGAACAGATGAACTCAGTGTGTGAACAGCAGAAAAGTGACAGTGAGCAGGTCGCACACAGACGGCAGCAGAGAGCTTCACTTTAATCTGACAATAATGTGACTGACATGTTGTTTTAAGAGCTTTTTCTTTTAGGGAAGCAGATTAAGATTAGAGAGCAGCAGTGATATAACAGACGTGGAACACTGATGGATGTTAAGCTGCAGATAAACATGTCAGTGAGAAGATAGATGTTCAAGCACAAAGCTTTTGTTTCATAACTTAACCTCACATTCGATTTAAGACAAGACAAAGTGAACAAACACTTCTATCAATTACGTTTTAAAAAGGGGAGTTGCTTCATCACCTGTGACGACTCACTCACCTGTAATCAGCTGATCAGTGTCACAGTGATCATTAAGCAATACAAACTGATCATTAATATTCATGCAGGAGGATTTATAGACGATTTAGTTTGAGGAAGGATGAGAATCACTGACATGTTGATTCACAAATAAATACTTTAATTATCTTAAATTAAATAAACTTTTGAATCAGAACTTTTCAGATTTTAACTCCATGTGATGATTTTGAAGTTTCTGTTGTGTCAGAGAAGAAACGACTGTCACGTCTGACAGCACTGGTCCCTGAATCTAACAGACCTCATCTCACTGATCATCTCATGCTTCTGCTGTGTGACCTCAGGTGAGCTCCGGTGGATCAGAGTGGGCGTGGTCTCACCGTGTTGTACAGCTCCTCCAGTCGAGGGATGGTCAGGAAGTGATGGATGTTCACACCGTTTTCAATCAACAGCTTCACAAAGTCAACTCTGTCCAGAACTAGAGCGTCCATCATGGCCTGTTCCAGAGAGTTCACCTGCCAGACCAATCAATCATCTTCATCAATATCATCATCATCATCATCATCAATATTATCAATATTTCAGATTTTTAGTTTTACGATATCATTTGCTGTCATTTATTCTAAATGACATTTTATAATTTGCCTCTTGTCTTTGATATTTGTAGTTTCTCTTTGATCTTTGTATTGAATTTGCTGAAAGGTTCTTTATGAATAAAGTTATTATTATTATTATAATATCATCATCATCATTGCTGATGTCATTATCATCATCAAGCTGGTGGATGAAGATATGATGGATGAAGAATAACTTCTGAATTGTTATTGATTGATCAGCTGATGATTGGTCAGCTGATGATCAGGTGGCAGCTGTTTGTCTGTGATAAATGTTTTTTGTGTTTGAACTTGACCTCATTCAACAGCTCAAACATCTTGTCTCTTACCCAGCTCAGCAGCTCCAGTTTTCTTGGGTCGGTCTCTTCAGGAGGTTCAACTTTAGTTTTTCCTCCTTTTCCCTTTTTCGCTCTGGCTTTACCTTTTCCTCCCCCTCCCCCTCCTGCCCCTCCCCCTCCTCTCTGGGCCACAGGGCTCTTAGGTCGATCTCCGACTCTCACAGGCTGCACAGACGACAAGAAAAACCTCAACAAACTCAGAGAATCACACAAAGCAAGGAAAAACAAAACTGTATACCGCAACAAATACAAATACAAACACAGACAGACAAGTGGAAAGGTCTGAGGACAGACAGGTGAAAAGAATGGTGGACAGACCGGTCAGACAGACAAGTGGACTCACAGGCCAGTGGTGTCCGTACACAAAGATCTGACTACGAGCGATGTCCACTCTGTTCCAGGCCAAAGCCAAACTCAGCTGATCTGACGCTGATGCATTGGTACCTGAAATCATCCCAAACACAACATGTGACAACATGTGACAACATGTGACAACACTCACTACATGGAACAGATGTGTTGAATAAACGTGTTGTTACCTTTGAGAAGAGCTGTGAGGATCGACATCTCAATGTCCTGTTGACCCTCTGAGCCCATCCTGAATACTGTGATCTACACACACACACACACACACACACACACACACACACACTCATTACCTGAGTCTAAAATCACCTGAAGTCACCTGAGTGTTGAGAGATCTCCTCAGGAAGTGATGTCACACTGAATCATATCAACATCTGTCACATGATGGACGATGACGTTTGATTCTAATTCACCTCAAACAATAGCTTTTGCTCAGTGGTGCCCCCTGGTACCCCCCCACTGAACGCTCTGACAGACATGATCCTGTCATTGTTAGCAGCTATGCTAAGATCTCTGAGAGGCTACGTGATATTTCCACGTGGATCCAGATGTGTTAGCTCACATGCTAACAGGCCTGCTCCCCTCTGTCTTGTTTCAGGCCGCAGGTCACGTTTGTGCAGAAACATCTCGACCTGCTGCAGATTTTAATCTGACAACAAATCATTTTAAGTGATGAGACGTGATTTTATGGACAGACTGTTGCTGCAGCTGTTCTCCGGAGGAAGCGGAGGATTGTGGGATTAAATAAACCAAAGAACAATTTCCACTAAAACCTTTATCATTATGTTAATGTCACAGTCAGCAGATTTTGTATTATATTATATTTGATGATAAATACTCATATCAAGGTGTTTTTCATTCAATGATTTATCGCTGATACAAACAATAAGTTTATTGATGCAGAGAATCAGGACTTTGACTGTGGGTCCGGTGTCAGTTAGATCACTACACAACAAACTTCTCAGCATTTCAGCGATCGGAGCACAAACAGGCTCAAAGACAGACACGTGATTCACACAGGTTTGGTCTGACAGCAGATTTGCGTTGTACAGATGTTGTACAGATGTTAGACGGAGTTGTTGATGATGGTGAATGAATGACGACACACACACAACACGTGAATGAACAGCTCTTTAATTAATGCACGGATGGAAAACAGAATCACCGAGACATGAACCAATCGGGCGTCTTCTTCACATCAGAGTCTGACCTACCAGAGCTCTCTTCTTCATGCACTCCATCACCATGAGGAAGATCTGCTGCGCCTGGCTGCGGCTGTAGTTGAAGGTTTTCTGGATGGTGACCAGCAGCTGATCTTTGACGCTGTCACTCACCAGCCTGTGCAGGAAGAGAAGACGACTGTGATCACGTGACTCGTTCTGTCAGGTCCTCCTCACACCTGAGATGTCATCACTCACTATTCACGATAAGGTGAGTTCACCACTTTGTAGTGAAGTTTTTTATACTCATTGTTTCCCACCAACCCAGCGATATATACCATCATGCATTGCACTCACAGCAGGAGCAGCCCGACCTCTTTAAATATAAATACAAGCAGAGCATCATGGGACAAACAAGTTTATTTCTACATTTAAAATATGTTTATTCTACATATTTTTAATACCCCCCCCCCCCYCGATTAAACACAGTTCAACCTGCTCCACATCTGTCTCTATCGGACTGGACCTCAGAGTCAAAGGTCGTGGTCAGGATTTGGCGTAATGTAAGGATGGTGGACCAGATTGAATCCAGGTCTGTCAGATGGTGTAACATCTGTAACATCTGTAACATCTGTTGTTCAGGGGACGATTTAATCCAGACAAGTTCAGCTGCAGGTTCTGATCTGGATCTGGAGAATGTCTGCACGATGGAGTGCAGACCAATGATTTCACAATTATTTCAAAACACAACAGGAACCACAAGAAGAGTCCACGGGGAGCAGATAGATAATGAATTCACTGTGTTCGATTCATTCTATATGTCAATATGAGAGAGGTCCTCACCCGTCCTCCTCACAATATCTGTGAGCAAAGGAAATGATGTCAGAGGCTCGACCGCTGCCGTCACAGATCACAACAGGGACAGGAGGATCCTCCTTCAGACTCTCCAGCACGATGGAGATGACGTTAGGACCCCCCTCAAGTATCAGACACACCACCGGGACCCCCTGACCCAGACCTGGAACACACAGATACAGAGTCTGTAAAGTTAAAGCTTCATGATTGTTACCAGCTAAACTAAAGTTAAGTTCCTATACAATTGATTCTGTTCTTCCAGAGTCTAATGTTCCAGTTCATCATCGAAAGAGAACAATAATAAAACAAGGAAGGATGCAGCCCCTGAGTTTTGACACAGATATAGATAAAGGTGAAAAGAATCACTGTGGATCCAGTGTTGGATCCTCTGGTTCCTCAGCAGCTGCAGTCAGAGGTGACGGCTGAGCCTCCCTTTGTTGTCCCTGCCTTACAAACAGCTCCAGGCATAGGATGACAAAGGGAAACCCACAGGTCACATGATCGGTCACATGGTTGTAGCAGGGTGGTCTGGTGAGTCTAAGAGAAACCAGGAGTCATTAAAAACCTCCTCAACTGATCACATGACTCACGTGTGTTGATCTTCTGCAGAGCAATGTGTTTCTCCAGCTGGCGGCGGAGACGGACCTCGGCACCATACTTCCCGGTGGTCCCGTTGTCGGACAGGATGAAGTGTGAGTGGCTGCCGTTCAGGACCGACAGTTTGCTGAGCGGGTTGGACATGGTCTGATACGACCGAGTCACCTGAAACACAGAATCCGGTTCAGTCTGGTTTAGTGTGGATCAGTTCTGCTCAGTCTGGTCCGGTCTGGTTTGACTTACGTCTCTCCCTATCAGGTCTTCTTTGTTTTCGATGATCCCCCACGGTGCGATGCCGATAGCATAGACTTTCCCTCTGGACTTGGACGAATGATCTTTGAGAGCGTCTCCAACATGGCGGATCACTCCTGAAACACACAGCGGACCGAGATGTGTTCAGGATGTTCCATTTACCTTTTGTTTTTAAAACTCACCTAGAAGCAATTTTTTTTTTAATCGGCACACAAAGTCAAAAACTAAAAGCCTCAGTGTCTAGTTTCAGTGACACACACCTGAGTAAGAACCTGAGGTGGTCACCTGTACCTGAGAAGATCCAGGTGGAGGAGCCTGAACTGAACCGTACCTGTGCTGACTCCTCCGGTGAAGATCCAAGCTCCGGTGGTCACAGCGGCTTTGATCAGTCCCTTCCCAAAAACCTGCTTGAGTTTGGGCGGAAGGTCAAAGTTCTGAAGGCCTCCGTGGACAGAGATGAGCAACGTAGGGAGCTCCAGCTGCCAGTCCTTCACCATCAGGTGGAGCAGGGAGTCCGGTTTAGAGTCATAGGAGACCCTGATGTACTGCAGGGGGAGGAGGAGGAGAAGAAAAAGAGTCAGCGACGAAGATCTCACCATCAAAACTGCTGTTTCTATCAGTTTGGGTGTACTGGAGGTTTTGGTGTGTCGGTTTGGTACCATGGCCTTGTTGACATGTCCTCCTCCCTGGAACTCAATGACTCCATAGGAATCGGTGGGGGAGGTCTGGGTGTGTTTGAGGGGACTCCATCTCTCTGCAGTTTGGACCTCCAGCTGAACCAGTGGGGCCCCCTCCTCTTTGGCCCCCGGGAGGATGGCAGTGTGCTGAGTCACCAGCTGACCACAGCTGCACCTGAACAACAACACATGATAACCTTAACCTGATGGACAGATCTCTGCAGGACAGAACTGGACTAGATGATCAGAGAGACTTGCTCTCTGTGAGGTGTCACTCTTCAGACCGTCACTGGGGACAGACACAGGTCTGAATCCCTGTTATGTTTGTGTCAGTACCTGCTGGCGTCTTTGCTGGGAATGATCTGGATACATTCTCTTTTCTGGAACGTCCTCTCGATCCAAACTCTGTGAACCTGAAGAAAAACAAGCTCTGAGTTTTCTAATGCAACTAAACTCATATTTAATGAATCTTAGTTCAGTTTGAATCTGAAACGAATGCGCACATGATTCAGTAAAAAACATGACAGGAGAAACAGCTGCAGAAAAAACACCAGAGTCTGAAAACATTTCAAGAGGAGAGAAGAAGAACTGAGAAACACTTCACATGAGTGAGGTCACACGGACTTGTTTACTGTGACTGTGAGTTCAAGTTTCCTCTTCACTGGTCAAGATGAAGCTGAAATGAACAAACTGCCTCAAACAGCTGAGCATCAAACTGCTGTTGTCTTTGTGTATCTGGTTAATTACTGGAGCAGTGGAGCTTTCACTATCTTTATGAATCTAATCCTCTTATTCTGAGTCCTAATAATCCTCCTGCAGCGAAACACACAGAAGAGCCTTTAAATCTGTTTCCTGTCTGCACTAATGTTACTGTGTGTGTGTGTGTGTGTGTGTGTGTGTGTGTGTGTGTGTGTGTGTCACTTTGTATATTCTTCCTTTAGGCGACATCATCACAAAGCCCCACAGACACACATTGTTACACAGATGACCTGCACTGAACTCCGGATAGTCTCCCGACATTTGCTGGAGGGGCTGAATGTGTGTTAATAATTCTGAGATGCAACAGATGCAAAAATGAAGAAAGAGAGAAAAACAATACCAAGCTCTCAGGATGAAAAAGTGGAGCCACACGCGTAGAAGTCACCGACATAGAGCCGGGATCAGGTGTTGATATGGGAAAGACAAACTCCGGAGAAGGTCCAGAGTCAATTGTGTGGACATTGTCCAGAGTTCATGTCTGAAAACAGCTGTAACGACTCTCAGGATAAAGACTTAGAGTCGTGGAATACCTGGAAACCTCCCACTTTCTTCAAGAAACATAAACAAGTCTCATTTTCTATGTTCTCATGTACAACTCCTGTGTGATACTGTGTATTACTGTGATACTGTGTGGTATTGTGTATTACTGTGATACTGTGTGGTATTGTGTATTACTGTGATACTGTGTGGTATTGTGTATTACTGTGATACTGTGTG